CCCCGGCGCCGCCACCGGCCGCCTCTGGATTAAACAGTCCGTTTCTTTCAGCACAGTTTTGTTTTATGCGAAGTCAGTTACAGAGTCGGCAGAGCTTTAAAAAATGCAGGATGCATCCGAAGATAGGAAATATGTTTCAGGCTTGTCTGGTTTTCATTTTATCTGCTTCCCCCTGGGACCGAGGCTGAAAGTTAATAAAAAGAAGCTCCCTCCATCTACTGCCTGCCTCCCCCTACTCCTTGCCTTGCACGTCCTTGGGTATAAATTATACTCCAGGAAATTTAATCTCCATGTGAGGGATAATTTCTTTCCTGTGAGGGTGACAGAGCCCTGGAACAAGCTGTCCAGAGAGGTGGTGGAGTCTCCTCTGGAGATCTTCAAAACCTGCCTGGATGCCACCCTGTGCCACGTGCTCCGGGTGTCCCCGCTGGAGCAGGGGGGTTGGACTAGAGCATCTCTAGAGGTCCCTTCCAGCCTCAGCCATTCTGTGGTTCTGTGATTCTGCACATCCCCCATCCTTCGCATCTGAGCAACCCTGCAGGTGCACGTGTCGTTTCAGGTGCCTGATTTGTTTGTTTGCTCCCAGGGATAGTTTTCTACCAGAGCAGCTGAACTGACTCACTCTGTGGCTGCTTCATCACTGGATCTGATCCAAGGGAAATGGCAGGAGCAAATACCCTGGAAGAATGAGAGAGGGCAGGACCATCTGTGCCAATGGCTGCTTGCTGTTACAGGAGTTTTGCTGCACATTTAGTTATTTACTTATCTGTTTTCAGTAATTACTGATTCCTTAGGGAGATTGGTTGGCTGTTGACAGGTTGAACATTACTGTGCTACATCAGCTGAATTTGTCTAGCTTTGTTTTTCCAGTCCTTTGAAAATGCTAAAGAAACAGCTTAGAAACAATATTTGTTTCCAGCAGTTAAGCATGTGGCTGAAGTTCTCCCAGAGCTGCAAAAGTTCACATTGCTTGTGTGAAAGCATTAGTGTTGCACTGATTCCCTGAGCAGAGTTGTTGGAATTATGGTTCTTTTTCACTCCGTCTACCAGCACAGATCCTTCTGATACCCTCCTTTACTGGAACATGGAGACAAGCTTTACAGGCAGGGCAGCTATTTCTCTTAGGTTAAAATATTTTAGATTGGCCATTTTTATCTGCTTCCAAATTAATTCAAGTAAGTTTTACATTTATTTCATCCTGAAGTGTTAGAATGTTATGTGTTTTTGCTGAAACTACCTTTAAAAGATGGGAATTTGAAAGCTATGAGTTAAGAGTCCACAAAATGGAGTAGCTATGTATTTGACCCCATAGGAAAAAAAATATAATACTCTTTTCTTTCCTCTCTGGAGTATAAGCAGCAGACATATCATTTGAAAACAAGAATTAAATTGTAATCTATCCATACTTGTAGCTTCAGAGGACCGATACCTTTACTAGAGAACTGAGAAGAAATAAAAAATGGCAAAACAGCTAATGCTAATACTAGCATTACCATAGCTGCTTTCACTATCATTACTCCGTATTTTATTGCGAGTGCTTTTTACTTGTCACAAAGCTACTGTTTCTGTTGACAGATTCAGATGAGTTCACTGCATTTAATTTCATTTTATAGCTTTGATTCTGGAGCAAATTTTCAATAATGATCACATACATACATATATATATATATATAAATTTAGCTGTAACAAGCACCTGCACTGCCACCCACTTGCACTGCCTATAAGACTATGTTTAGTTCATGCAAATTAGATGTAAACCATCATATTTCCCAAGTCATAAGGTTCACTCAACTGTCAAATCAGAACATTTTATGTTAGTTATGGAGAGTAGTTTTTATCTTCACCTCAGACAGAGTCTAATCCTGCTTGCATGGCAAAACAGTGGCAGGTTAGTTTCTGACTAGTGACGGCAGTATAAGGATGTGGCTGTAGAAATATATAGTGATTAATTTTAAAAGGCAAAAAAATGAAATTAATTTTCTTTATACGTATGTATTATTTATTATACCAGACCTGAATTTTGCTCAATATAATGTTTAAATTCTGCCATATCTTTCAACTTATGTTGCTTTACCATTGATTTCAATCTATGAATGCTATTAGGCCAGTGGTATAAAATAGAAAAAAAGATACATCCTTATGCAGGCAGTGTCTTTGTGAAATCAATTTTAGGAAATCTTTGCAGGAGAAATAGTCTTGAGATTGCAAACAAACCTTAGCAGCAATTTTGGAAAGGTGGGGCTACCTAATAAGCCCGTTTCTCTCAGAGAAACTTGCCATTATGTAATAGTATTTTTGCTGGGGCTGAGGATTAGAGGAATAGTCAAGTCTTCTGTCCAAATATTTTATAGCATGCTGGGTTCATGAAAGCAGCCTGGCATATATATTTAATTTTCCAGTGTACATGCAAGTAGCATAAGAACAAATATGTTTTCTCATGTGATGTCATAATATGAATTGACAAAAATCTTAACAGTTTCATTTGCAAGCTCTGACATTTTCTTTCTGTCTGCAGGTGAAGAAAGCCCTGAACACAGTGGAACTGGAATTACTTTTGAACTAGTAAACAAGCCAAGCATTAAATAATCCACATCAAAGTCACCTTGTCTCCATCCTAACACTATTCTCTAAAAGGGATGGAGGTCTGGACACACAGTGACAGCCACATCGACTTGCAATGACTTGGACTCCTGGCCAAAACTGCCTTTGCAGGGAAGGCCCAGTAGAAATTGAAACTGGTAAGTCTTGTGTTAGCTTCATTAGTGCCATATAGGCAGTACTTATTTACTAGAATCCAGCTCGAACACACTGGCTGTACATAGAGTTAAGGATCTGTGCTCAGCAGTCATGTAAAAATGTATCTTAGAAATAGTTACAGATGAATTTAAGCAACTTAGAAATAGTTACAGATGAATTTAAGCAACCAATCAAGCAAAACATAAATGGGTGCCTTCAAATTTCACTTTAGGAGAAGCCTGGTAAATCACAACTGCCTTGCCAAGTTCATGAACTAGATTTCAGTAATCTCAAATGTGGATTTCTGGAAAATTTTTGCCCTTGAAACGTTTGCCTTTATTTATTTTTCCAAATTAACATTTGAATGACTCCTTTCTAAAGTTAGCAGAGTAAACCATAGGAATCAATATGCCACAAATTACTCTTCAAGTCTGGCAAACAGCAGTTGTGGGAGTGCAGTGTGTGTTGAGCAATGGAACAGCCTGTGGTAGTGGTGGTGGTCTGAGGGCGCAGCAGGGAACAGCTGTAGGCTGAGGGAACAACCTTTACTTGATCAGCTGATGTCAGTACAACCTCCCCCCCAAACATACACACAGAAATGCAGACAAGTTTTGGAGCACCTGAGTTCTGTGATTTGTCAGGCCTCTTAAAACTGAAGAAATTGCCAGCCCAGAAACTTGTCTGTTTTTTCCATAGTCCTATTAAAAGCTACTGTGTTTCCCTGCAAGTTTTGCTTCTCATCATGTGGTGTTCTCACCTACTTAAAACCACAATATACTCTCAGGACTGAGGCAGCTGTTAAAAGTAACTTTTACAGGATAGGTGTTTAGCCATCCAGGCATATGAAGTGTGGCTTGTAAATATAAAGACAAGAGCTCAAATTCATTACAATAAAAATGGAAAAAAAGTATGAAAATGGCATGTAGCAATATATTCACAACAAATAAAAACAGGAAGGATAAAAGATGGAATACAGTAAAAATAAGAATAGCAAAGTACAAAGTGGGAACACTTAAAAAATGTGCATGGTGAAAAATTAATTACAAATTTTAGTAATACATCTGAATTCCTGATTCCTGTCTCTTGTATATCTGTTATTGCTGAATATCAACAAACTGCACTGTGTAGCGTACGGCTGCAGCTTCCATTCTGATGCTAGAGTATAGAAGAAAAATAGTCTCTGCTGTCTTTCTTTGGTCCCTTTAGTATCTACAAGATTTGCAGAAACACTAACAAAGAAATTACTTTAACTTCTAAACTAAACTTCTAAATATAGCAGGCTAATATTCTGGTTTCCAAAAGACCCAAGATTCATTCATTTGCACCCTGTGTGCATGTGCTTATCTGACAAAAAAAAAAAAATGTGGTGAGATAGAGGTCTTAACTAAGTTGCTGCATGACTTATGAAAACAAGGATCCAGGCAAGGACACCCACTAATGCTCCCAGAGAAGGATAAACTACAACCTGAAGCCAACCGTATTAGGCTCAATTGTAATATGCCAATCCAGATAAAGCAAAATTTTACAGTTGCTTGCCTTATTGAGCTTCTTGTTTGATTTTGACACTTACAGCTCCATCACCGGGTGTTAGGAACACAGTCCACAGGCTTACGTGGGATGGTCTAGGTGTGTATCATTTCTTGTATTTGCTCTCTCTTTTTTTTTTTTTTTTTTAATTTTGATTCTGTCAAATAAGTGTTTAAACATGACACTCCTGTAAAGGTGTAAAGGTGTAAAAGTACAAACCAACATAATTATCAGCAAAGAAAGTAATTTAAGTTTTAAGCTTCTGGTTAATTATTCATACACCAAAACATTCTCAGGGTTTTGAAGAACTGGTCTAACAACATACTGAAGCTTCCAGCAGCTGAAAGCTCTGGAGGGGTACCTGAGAAAGAAATACAGGGACAAATCTTCTGACTCTTCTGCGATAAGCAAACAAGAGTTGATGTTAAAACAGTGAAGTATTTTCCTGATTAAGAAAGTACTTTCTTAAACAAAGATGTTCAAAATGTGTATAGCAAAAGAATGAGGAAGAAAAAAATAAGGTTTTTAAATGATGCTGACAGGCCTCCAGTTACCGTGATTATCAGCAGCCCTTGCCTGTGAGGGGAAGACTGTTCTGCCAAGTTAATCAAAGTGTCATTTGTGATCTGGAATGGCTCTTCTCTTTTATTTCCCTGGGAAAAAACCCTTAGGTGATCAGATAGAACAATATTTAATGTCACTTTGTGGAGAGTTAGCAGTAATATTTTGCTGGACAGAACTATGTTGTCCATGGGTGATAAAAAGGTCCAATTTGCAGCCCTTTTGTTCAGATGCCGGGAAGCGCCTTCCTGACTGTGGGTCAATTGTTAGTTGAAACAATGAAGTAACTGGCTATGTATTCCCAGATAGTTTGTAGCTTTCTGGGAACTGTCTCTGTGCTGGAAGGGAGTGCTTTTTTTTTTTTTTTTAATGGATGGGGTCAGGGAGGGTACAAGATGAGGCAAGTGCATCCTTATTTTTTTAAAATGTTATTTGAAAACATTTGGTCTGGATTCAAGCATCAATTTACACAATCCTAAATGTGAATTATCATCGGTTAACACTGAATTAGCTGCTTGCAGGGTTGTGACAATATATGATATAAACTGCACTTAAGTGTAGAAATTTGACTAGAGAGTTGATATATTGTTTTAGAAAATTCCACTGTTTAAACTTATCTAACTCTGCTATGTAATATTTATGATAAAAATATAATTAGTTTAGTCAAAATAATTGTTCTTTTTCTTAACTGGTCAGTTAAGTAACTTACAAACAGTGACTTCTATACTTCTCATTAAAGTACATACAAGAACAGGCATGTAAAAGCCACGTGTTGACAGTACACTAGGGATATTTGCATGTAATTGCCTAATCCTCCAATTAAGTACTAGGAATAAATTGTTAAATTATGATGACTAACCTACATTTTGAGCCAGTAATGTTATCTAGAGTACTGGCCCCTCTGTTATTAAATTTCATTATTTTAAAGGATACTCTAAGATTAATGTGTTAACAACTGAAAAAAAATCAATTTGAAATTTAAAAATTAATGTGATTTACATTCAAAATTCTATAAATACATGATTTTTAACAGAATTAACCAGTTTCAGCTGCTGCAACAATTGCTGTTCTAATAAAATTTTGTTACTGTTTACTAAAAATATTTTTGAATTCTGATGTAGGAAGATTTTAGGGTGTAAATTATGGGAAGAGTAAATGTCACATTGATGATCAAACCTGCCTTAGCTTCCAACACCAGTAACCTAGGGATATTTTAAAGAATCTTAATGGATACACTTTAAAGATCAGGAATCATATTCATCCAATATTTTTGTAGTCAGTAACTGTATCTATCTCTGAGGTTAAAACCTCAGTCTTGAAACAGTGCACAGAAGCAATGTTTACAAGCAGGACCAGACATCGGCAATTGTTTTATTGAGGCATCAATTTAGCAGGTTAGAAATCCATAAAATTCTTAGCTCTACGATGACTTTATGACTCACTGCATTTATAGCAGATGCTGCGGTTATCACTCCAGCATTTGTGCAGATCTGTGTTAGTAGGAACACATTTCCTTTTCCTTCAAAGCCTGGTTTTCCATTATGCCCATCATCAAAAACATTGGGGCTCAGTGTTTCCAGGGAAGCACATGGAGTCATCAAGTCTATTTCTAATTAGACTCAAGGTCTAATTTGTACAGTAAGAAAGGGCTCCATTATCAGGAAAGAGTTTCAGTGGCAATATGCTGACA